CCGTGGCTCGTCCTCGGTTCCATCTACGGCATATGATTTGGATTTCTTTTTCTTTTCCCGTGGCTCATCCTCGGTTCCATCTACGGCATATGATTTGGATTTTTTCTTCTTCCGTTTAACAACGGGTGGCGACTCCTCTTCGTCTCCGTCTTTTAGCTCTTCGTCATCTTTTACCTCACTTGGAGGCAGAGGGGCCACAGAAGCAACTTCTGTTCATGCAGGTTGACATTCAAATTGTAGGTAAAATAATCGCCCTTTTTATTTCAGTTAGTCCAAAAAATATTAACTTTAAAAAATAAGTGCTACTTTCCAATTCTACAATTTCACTACTTGTTCATTCTATTATTTGCACAAAAAGTAGCTTACCGACAACCCCAACCGACCCCACACAGAACCCCTCCTTCAAGGATACTAATGTGAGGGGGCATTTTTTTGGCTCACTAGACTAGCAGAGGGGCTGGGATTGAACCAGGGACATGTCTTGTATTTGGACAATGTCACCCCACCCCTTTGCCAACTAAGTTACACTTGCTCGTTCTATTTTTTAGGGTAAATATGTCATGTAGTTGATTAAAAGATCTAATAATTACATATTTCTAAAACTGTGAGAACATTTGTATTGGGACCGAGGGAGTAATGGTGTTATGCATCGTTTCGAATATTATAAGAACGACAAAGGGGAACACAAGAATCAATTGCAGAAAGAGACTAACCTTCATCGTTAAAATGAGAATCGAAGACGACATTTGTGAGATGCTGCTTTAAGAAGACCTGCATTTATTCGATGTTGCAATACCATCAAATTAGTAGCAGCTAAAAACGACCTTATTCCAATAAAATCACAAGCAGAATAAAGCTTAATGCAACCCGAATAATTCAATTCAAATTTGAAATTAAAAGCAATCCCCATACTTCAATGCCAAATGTAGAATGAAGGGAGAATACCGTAACATGCCACAACCATTGGATCTAAAAAAACAGATAGCTCATATCCAGATTCAACGATCTTTATGATTGTGAAGTTAGTTATGGCCAAATGTAAGGGGCCGTTTACCAAACGCTCCAGTAAGCGCTTACGAGGGATCACTTACCTTGTGAACATGGTAAGGACCGACAATCTTACCCGATAAGAGGCATAGCAAGAATTCAAGAATCTTATCTAGTAAGAGGCATAGCAAGAATAAAGAATCTTACCGGGTAAGTAAGGAAGAAGACTCTTACTGGTAAGTGCTTATCGGGTAAAATAAGCTTACTAACAATCCATTTTAATGGCCGAAAATGTTACCCGATAAGGTAAGTGAGATAGCGACTCTTGCTGGTAAGCATTTACAGATTTACCCCAGTAAGGGTATGTTTGTTAGGCGCTTAATGAGCATAATGGAACTCGGCTTATTTAATCAACTATACATGACTGTTTGGTAATGCTTAATAATATAAATAATGACTTATTAAGTAAGCTTCTAGGGGGAGCTTTACGCAGAAAGCCAAGTTTTTTCCAAATATGCTCCTTCCATCTATGAGAAAACCCTCCCAAACAAAAACTTTCTCAATCTATTCAGACAGATTAATCCACAGAGATAGCTTAATCTGTATAGGACTTAATGTAAAACCAACCAAACAGTCCCTATGTGTCGGGTAAACAACCCCTAAATGTTCCTATTGTTCATAACGTTGGATTCTTCATATACATAGACATTGCACCTGCTCGAATATATACACATCTATCATCTATCCATCAAACTCTCAGGTGCAACCATGCCCTTCACAAGGGCCTGAGATAAAACAGATTTGAAATTTTCAAATATCATCCAATGAAATATGCATGTATTAGTATATACGGTATACCAACATACCGCAGAGAGTAGCTGCCTTGATTGTATATCCCAGATGCGTAAATAGCTGTCGAGTCCTACATCAAAATGTTAGCTTAGTCATACTCATATCAACGTTCTAAAGATGAAATAATCATCAAAAAACATCAGCCTACCATAAATTAAATATGATATCCTTGAATATAAACCAGAGTGCAACAGAAATATAAGCCTGCCCTGGCCGAACCAAAATGAACCCACTATATGCCCACCTGAAAGTAGGCTCTAGAAGGGGGCAGGATGTATGTAAACCTTACCTCAACCACTAGGATCGAGAGGCTGTTTCCATGAAGACCCCCGAGTTGTGCACGAAACAAAGGTGTGTGCAAGCAGGTAATATAACAGGTAATCGAGAAATACAACAGTGCATCAAAAATATGAAGTGGTTGAAAGAAGACTCACCACAAGAGGCAATCACTGGGAGATCTGGGTGCCTAGCTATTGATCTGATGCTTCCGGAGCATTTCCCCAAAAAGCATCCCAGTAGTTTCCCTTAAGCATTTCAACCAACAAAGGTAAAAAGTTAATAACTTGCATAGAACACAAGTCAACATTCAGGGGGTGTTTGGTCAGAGGCATTAAGCAGTAATCAATGGGAATGAAAATAAAAGAAACTGTTTCTATAGTATAATGGGCTCATTCCCCCATAAGCCCAAATTTTCATTCCAGGTTAAAAAGGGGTAACGAAAATTCATCCCCATTTTCATTTTCAGTCCCCAGTCTGAACCAAACAGCCCCTCATTTCTTGGTCGTGTGAAGAAAAAGAACATACATTTCTTAAATATGCTTGCTTAAATATAAAGAAATCATAATCATCGGCACTAGAAAACCGATACAGTTTATGGGCGAGCAAATGGCACAAGAAAAGGTTTTGTGTATTTTTGCAACCAACCTAAATCAGAGAATCTGCCATGTGTCCATGACAAGCCATAAAATGAATTAATCTCCACCAAGCAATGAAATATCATAGCATTAGTATGGATCATGGTAGAGGTTACTGATAACATTCCATTTTTCTTTGGATTTCGGTGTTTATGATAAAAATATAACCAGGGTCTATTACGGATTTTGGTTGCAAAAATACACAAACTGCAGGATGTTCTCTGCTTTAGGAGTGGAAAAGTCTACAACGGAAATAGCAAGTGTTTAGAAAACTGTGTACCTGTGCGTATGTCAACAGATGCAAGATCACCAGACCCATTCCCAATGTATATCGTATTACCATCTAGATCTTCAGTGACGGCCTTAATAGGGGTCTCGCGAAAATCAAATGACATGACAGGTCTTCTCTGAGCAGACATATCATAGAGACGTACCTACATATACTATTTTATTTAGATATATATTGAAAGTTAAATTAAAGCATATATGGCATATATGGAAACCTTACTCAAGAAACAATACAACAATATGCAATAATGTACAGCAGCAAATCTCACGAAAAGAAAATCAGGATGTGCCTTCACATCTAAGACAACAGGTGGTACACCGTTATCATGAAAGTCCAAGGCAAACAGACAACCGTATGGATGCAAGAGTAAGACTCTAGCAAGAAGTTAGCATCATGCTTTCTATTCAAATTCAATAACATCACATGTTCCATGTCTTATGAGGTTTTGGGGTTCCACGTATTATAAGATGGTATCAAAGCCAAGGTCTACCACTCAGGGGACTTGACAATCTGGGGCAATCTGTACTCGTCTAGCCCCCTCGCCTGTCTAGCCCCCCTCTCAACACTCTTAGACAATCTGTTCCCACACTGTCGGGCAATCTATACTCATCTAGGCCCCTCGCCTGTCTAACCCCTCTCAACACTCTTGGACAAACTGTGCCCACACTCTGGGGCAATCTGTACTCGTCTATCCCCCTCTCAACACCCTGCGACAATCTGTATCCGTCTAGCCTCCATTGGATGGGGCATGTTGTTGTACCACATTGGCTAGACTTGGACCATTTCTCCTCTATATATGTTGGAACCTCCCTTCTCTCAATGGCTCTTTTGGAGAGTAAATCTGGGGGTTCCATCTTTTCTCACAGGTTCACTAGTGACCTTGATTTTCATATTGAGTACAATATCTCAGAATTTGAGACTATATGATCAGGATGCTTTAAATTACTAATTAAAATGTTTCCTAACATGTCCATAAGCAATACATCTACAAGCATATAATGAACAGCTGAAGTTATACGGTTTTGGTAAATGACCTGATGGCTGTTGGTGCCTGCCACAAACTTGCGGTGATCATCTTTGCTTAAAAATGTGGCAGAAGTAAACCAAGTAGGTGTAAATATACCAAGGCTGTTTTTAGGAGGCTGCAAGGTAGATAAAGAAAAAATCACATGGTAAACAAATAGATGAAGCATTTGCCTTCACAACCATAAAAATGTGCATGGAAAACAAATGAACTTACTGATTTTGCCGTCCAGATTTTCGTATGCGTCGCAAGATCCCAGATATTAACCTCTACTCCCTTCCTGAGGTGTAGCAAACTTGTCATATCACAGTATTTGAAAGCCACCATATGCTCCTATTCATACAGTTGAGCATAAATAAATATAATTAAAATAATTAATTAAAGACTCACCCTCCATATAAGGCATAGTTTTCACTTTCATCCACTTTACAACACAAGACATTACCAGCTGCACACACATTCCATGTTGTTGGAGGATCATCACAAGTCGAGTCCCCTGGGGATTTCGGAATTATCGTAGATCTCAGGCTTGTAAGCCCTTTCATTGTGCATGTAAGCAAGGTGCACGACCTACGTCAAGATGCAACATCTTCTATAAATGACCATTTCTTGTATAGAAATTAATATTATAACCAACAGGATACAAAGTAGTAATTCACAAAAATAAACTAACAAATGGAAAAACAACATTCTGCAACTTAGCAAATATACATGTAACAAAGCCTGCATGATTCAACTTCACTATAATAGAAAATTACTTTTTGTGCAATGAAAGAGCATACAATTTGACAGCAAAAAGCATCAAGTATAGCTTCAATTTCTTGTGTTTTATTTTCAGTTTGTTATCTTGTCGTATTAAGGACTCACATACATTCCAAGGGCGATAAAAACAAGTGAAGTACAATATGCAAATAGAACCAATTGCTCTCCATATCCATCCCACAAGAACTCAAAATTTTGGCCATTCTTGCAAAGTGAGACCGACTGCTTTTTAGACTTTAGAAATGACACAATCTCCAAAACAGCAAACATTGCAATTCTTATGGAGCATCCTAAAAAGAAACATGTTGCAAGTCTTTTAAGCCAAAGAAAGTATAATCTAAACAGATACCTGGATGATGACTCTGAGGTCCGTTTTTTGAATAAATGCAACCCAACAATGTCATCTTCTTGAGACTGAACATCAGCTTGGTTCTTAATGGTAAAAGAAGCTCGAACATCTCCATTAACAGGGCTAAGTAACTCAATCTGTTTCGTACAGAAAACTACAGTGAGGCCACAAACCATGCAAGTGCTTAATCGAGCAACGGTTTGGATTTATGATTGATGCTATAAACTTACCGCGCCATTTTTCCTTGCAACAGCTAACAGCTGCAAAAAAGTAGCAAAAAGTATGATTAAGAGCTCTAAATAGCAGTACTCGATGAGGAGAGTTCATTAACAAAAAATTGGCATGTTGAAAAACTTGATTTGCTAGCTTTCTACATTGCTAAAACTTGGCATCTACATAAAGCCAAAGACAACTAAAATCATTCCCTGTGTGATTAGCTAACTGTGTTTGGCCTTTTATGCTTTAATATATATACACACACACACCCTTGACTGTTCGAACCAAAAGTACAACAGAAGTTCCATTAAGAGAATAGATTTGTTCGACTACTATTAGCATTTCTATACATAATTTCTAATCCAAAATCACCAGAAGCAATGCTATCAAGCAAACCAAAAGCATTTGAAATCTTCTATTACATACTTTTACATGTTCAAAAGCATACTGCAAATTTTCAACTGTGAAACTAGAAGATATGAATGAAATATATGCAAGTCTTAACAAATTTTGAAATGAACTATCATATGAAGGAATGTAGAACATACAGGATCAATTTTACGGTCATTCATAGAAGCGGCAAGCACGCATCGAGAGGAGTCAGGCTCCCCCCATCTCTCTACCACCTTAGCAACTCCTCCTTGCTGACTCCGAGCTTCTGTAACTGCAATCATGGAGTAAAACAACAAAAAACAGACCGCTGCAGTTACATACATGTATCTAACTACGAGGACAATATGTAAAAATGTTCGGTTTAAATTTCACAAATGTTTAACAACACAGAACGATCAATTCAAACGTAAATTAGCTAGTATTGTTGAATCTAACCTTTAATGAGACCGAGAACATCGAAAGTTAGGGCGCGAAGCGGAGGACAGCCAGCGGATTCTACGGTGGTTGTTCGTGGCATCTTTTAACCTCGTTTGAGTTCCAGCTTAGCTAATGATGGAGTAAGAAAAGGTACTTCACTCAATGATGAGTAAATTAAAGAACGCAATCTGCGAACGAGAGGAGATAGAATGACTAAGACTAATAAGCAAACGGAGAGCGGCGGCGGCGGCGGCGGCGGTGGTGGTGGCGGAGCAGACGACGGCAGCAACGGAGTAGGTTTGTATTTTCGTTAAATGAGTTATTGGCAAGGCTTTACTCCATTTTACACAAAAAAAGAAACCCTTAGGGACTTTTTGGTAATTTAGCAAAAGTGAACGGCCTGATCATAATAAGCCTATCTCCTTAGGTTTTTGGACTAAGCCTAGCCAAATGAGCCCAATTTGAAGCTTTACCCAGCCATAGACAAGAATGGTCACGTAATACAGCAACGTAAATCTTTATTTAAATATTTATTTTTTATTATTTATCTCTATCGATATAATACGATTTTATATGGTTTTGAAAAATTAATATTTTTTTTATTTTTAAATGAAATATAAATTTGAAGATATTACAAAATTTTGAAAAAATTAAATCGATATTAGTATCAAATTAACTATTTCAGAGTACTCGTTTTTTTGTGTAACTTTTTTAATTCAATTTTTTTATTATAATTTAATTTAGATTTAATAACAAAATAATTTATTTTGTGTTTAATAATATAATTTTTTATAAATATAATAATTAAATATTATGTTATAAATCAATGACTATCTTAATTATAATTAAGATTTTATATATTTAAAATGGATGTTTAACTTGTATTTGATTATGTTTACCTATATTTAGTTGCACGAATTCAAAAATAAAGATTTAATAAGTTGTACTTATGAAAAAATTACTTGTAATCTTAAATTTCAAGTAATATGCATCAATAATCAGTATTTCATGCATAAAAAATGGTTTCTAAAAGGTTTTGTCAAATATTTTATACATTGTTACAAGTGAATCCAAAAGCGTTTTAAGCATTATATTTTTTGCCACAATTGTCGGAAGGAGTTTATGCAAGTTCAACTCTTGATCATAATAAGCCATTTATCAAACGTTGATTCAGGTAAGCGCTTACCAAAGCATATATCCATTACCGGATGAATATGACAAGTACCAAGAACTTTACCCGGTAAGTAAAATCAAAGACCGAGAGTCTTACCTGGTAAGTAAGAACGATGATTCTTACCATGGTTAGCGTTTAACAGCTAAATTGTGGCATATATGCCGTTTTGATGAACAAAAATCTTACCCAGTAAATAAGTGATAATGTTAAATTTTACAATAAACACTTACCAAGTAAGTATTCAAGTAAATAGCCCCTTATATAGTTAGATATGAACTCTTCATAAAATCATTGTTTGCAACCCAAAATTCTAATTTATTGTCAATCCAGTTCCAACTCCTATTCATGTTTTTTTTTCTTTTTTCTCATCACTGAATAAATCCATTTTCTTATATAACTTGTAAAAATATGTATAACATGTAAAAATATTCATATTTTGCTTGATTGTCACTTATCTTACCATATGAGCATGACAAAGACCAAAAAATCTTACCCGCTAAAAAGTATAGTAGGGGTTGTTTGTTTACCTCTTAATAGTTCTATTAAGAGACAACTTCTGAATCGTTAAGAAGTGAATCTTGTTTGGCAAAAAAAAAAAAAAAAGTCTGCCTTAATGGTTCTGAAATCCTCTGAATGATTTTGCATCATGGACCTCCCTTAACCATTCAGCACACTAATTTCATTGTAAACAATTACCCAACAATTATATTTCATTTTGCACTATATCATGAAAGTCTCTTAATCATTCCGACCACTTAATCATTTTGCACCAAACCATTCAGAAACTACCAAACAACCCGTAAGAACCAAGAATTTTACCAAATAAATGAAAGAAAAAGACTCTTACCCGATTAACAATTACCAGGTAAAAGACGTTTACCAACAATTTATTTTGATGGTCGAAAATGAAATCTGGTAAGATAAGTGAAGATGATGACTCTTACCCGATAAGCATTTGGTAGATGGTCACCAGAGCAAATTGGATAAAAGATAAATGGAAAACATGGGTGAACAAGGACAAACCATTATGCACCTAAAGACTGCCTTTATTTGAAGAGTTGATCAAAAAGCCTGAGAGGGGATGGTTTAAGTCATTCCTACATGTCTTTCATCTCATCATACAACATATAAATATCATGGAAAACCAAAAAGACTCCGATACACCGATCTCCAAACGTCTGATCCGATGCTAATACTAAACTCATAACAAAAGAACCGTCTCACGATAGCACTTTCTGGACCTCTGCCGTCACCTCTTGAGGCGTTTTTTCTGCGGGAAGGTTTGCCACGATGTTTTTCTTCTTGTAGTAATCAATGACCTGCACACCCGATGCGGATTTTTTTCAAAAGTTATTGCAGAAAATACATTGCACATACAACAGCATGCCAGAACACTATACGGTCGTTACTAATTGCTGACCACCTCTTACTGGGTAAGAGACGCTTACCCGCTAAGGGGTGAAGCTGTTTACCATACACTTTTGACTGAAAAATGATGATGAACGAGATGCTGACTCGGTAAGAAAGGAAAGGCTCTCATACTCAGTCAGGACTTGCCCAGACCAAACCTCTTACCCGGTTAGCGTCTTAGCCAATTTGTGTTGATAAACGGACCCACATCACAAGTGCTGATTACTAGACGAATGTTTCAACCAACCAAATCCATTATAGTGAATGAAGATGACTGACTTCAAGTACACATATACATGAAGGTCTGCTGGTTGTAAACCAAATCAAACAAGCTTATTATATCCCACCCAAAGGTGGGTCTTGGAGGGAGAGGGGGGGGGGGTGAGATATACACAGACCTGACCTCCAAATAGTTTTCGTGAAAACCCACTGCTTGTGCATAGTGAAAAAAATAGCAGAAAGAGGACATAAAAAAACCAATATTGCATAAACTGTGCAAAACCAGTATTGTATCTAGCTCTTGTATAGCCAATTAGCCATACTTGTTACAAGTTATCATAATAGACTCTGCTTAGATTCAAGGAAAAACAGATGCTCAGAAACGAGTTATATTACAATTTCAACACGATCATTAGTCTATATTTTCTTGCTATAAGGTTTACCATGGTCAAGACTAATAATATCTCCATAAGCTTTGGAAACTAAATTGATTTTGAAGCTGGAATGTAACTTATATTGGCCTTAACCAATATTGCATTTGGTACGCGAGACAAAATGGGAAATGGTATGCGAGACAAGAGAGAACAAAAACTTATGTCCCATGCTTGGCCCGATGTTAGACAAGAACAGAACAGAACAGGACTCGGTGGGACAAAATAATATTTTTTTCCCACCAAAATAGGTGGAAGAAAAATTAAGGTGATGAGGCAAGACTAGTAAATTACTAAACCACCCATGTCAAATTAAAACCCTAAAACCTTACACAATTCTTTCACCTGCCTACCTCACTCTAACGCACCCTTAAGGTTCTAGACAACACAAGGGAAGAATAAAGCATAGATCATGAAAACTTTATCAAGCTTGTTTTGATCTAGTTATCGTAATATCCAGCTCTTTGCAGTAGCAAAACGCAAGTCGAAAAGTGGCACATACCGGCTCAGTCTGTTTATGGAATGCCTCCAGTCTTGACTTCAAAACAGCTGCAGTGTCATCTTTACGTTGAACCAAAGGTTCTCCAGTGACCTTCAAGAAGTTAGAAACCAGGTAAGGATAAGGGAAAGCATTAGACCACAAAACACAACCGTAAAGAACTTGCTTTACAATTTATAGGTGGCCAGTCGCACAACAAAGATTTTTTCATAGTAGAGAAAGTAAAAAAGGTCCACTGATATGAGTGGAGTTTGACAAAGAGCACTAGAGATACCTTGCTACCATGTCACACAGCGGAAAAACGAGGTTTATAATAACAGAAAATTAAGATTGACCTCAATTACATCACAATTAAACTGGAAAGATACCACTGAGGTATCAGACACTTGGTGCAAAAGGTTCAAGTACAAGGAAGGGACTGTTTCGTTGGTTTTCCATCAAGTCCTTATGGATAAAGTTGTCTGTATAGATTGGGAAGTTTTTTGTTTGGGAGAGGCAGGTTTAGGAAAAACTTGGCTTTTTGCATAAAACTCTCCCTGGAAGCTTACTAAATAAGCCACTTTCTATATCATCAAGCCACTAAGTCCGATTAAGCTGCTACCAAACAGGCCTGAAGCCTCACACTGGCTTTCATCAACGCTCTTCAGATTTCTGGTTTTCCTTTTTTTAGTTAAGATTCTTAGGTTTCAACAACTTGGTTCCTAGGTTTCACCTTCGCTATCTTCAAATGCATCTAGCAAGAAATTACTGGCTCCCTCACAAAGTTAGCGTTCATATTTCTATTTTAGTTTGTCCCAAAATACATGTCCATATTTCTATTTTGGTTTGTCTCAGAATACATGTCCATATTTCTATTTTGGTTTGTCTCAAACTACATGTCCATACTTCTATTTTATTTTGTCAATTTCTACATGCTGATATACGGATGCTATATGTTGCTAACACTCTTCACAGGTAGAGCTTGTATGAATGTTTTCACCACTCTTAGCAAATGAAGGAACATGAGAAACTTACATCATCTATGCCAGGAACTTTAGGAGGTGCAAATTTGGAGTGGTAACTCCTACCACTAGAAGGATGGATCCAACGACCAGTAATCCTCTCCTCCAAGATTGCATCATCTATCGCAAAGTTAAGCACCTTGTCAACTTTGGTCCCTCTCCTTTCAAGCATGTCATCAAGCTGCATAAGAAAGAATTACATAAAAGCACATTCAGGATTTATTATGTGGGATAAAAATAGAAGAAACTCGATTGGGCTAGCATCTTGTTGCCAAGAAAGCAAGTACCTTTTCTGCCTGAACCACGGTCCTTGGGAATCCATCAAGAATGAAACCTTTTTGGCATGACGGCTTTTTCATTGCTTCATCAATTATCCCCACAACTAACTCATCAGAAACAAGTTGTCCCTAAGGAAACAACAAACAGAGTAGGAAGTAAGCACAAAGAAGCAGGTGCTTTTCTATAAATCATATGCATGCATACAGCAGATACGTACATTGTCCATAGCCTCTTTAGCTTTGATTCCAAGAGGGGTTTTAGCAGCAACAGCAGCTCTTAGCATATCACCAGTGGCCAAGTGGCACAGACAGTACTCATCCTTGATAATTGGTGACTGGGTGCCTTTTCCAGATCCAGGGGGGCCTGCAGAATAGAGCATATTTAGTTATAATGGCAACCATAGTTGATAAATAAAACATCTACAACTTCCACTAACAATTTCAAAGATTCACAAAACCATCCACGATTTCAAGAAAGGGGACACGATAGAATATAACAGACTTCAGGTCCAGTACGACCTTAATCACACAATGACACAATCTTCCGTACCCAGATGATAATTCTACATTTAAGGCATATTTGAAAGAACTAATGAAAAAAAATATCAGGTGCTGAGAAGTTAAAGCTCGGAAAATGATTAAGACCTGCTAGGCTAAGACTCTGGTGAACTTAACTCACCTTCAAACATGTCTAGGGACTTCTGAACAGACTCCTAGTGCAGCTGAAAAGGTTCGCAAATCTTTGTAATTAAGATCCAGAAATATCTGATGAACCCAAGTAAATTGCTAATGCTCAATCCCTCTTTACTTTCTTTTAATACCATACAGTTATATAATTCATAGAAAAAATATACCTTCAAATGTGTTGCTAAATAAGAAGCAAGGTGGCATCATGTACACATTGGTGGCAAAAACTTTAAAATAAAGGGGATCCATATTTTTGCATGCTTAGACAAACTTCATACTCATATAACTATATAAGTACCGAGCGGGAAATGGACCGAAAAGGTGTTCACTGTTCACATCTATAGAACGGCTAATTAGCATTTGTAACTATTTCACTTTGCTTTAACTTAAAGAAACCATCATTGTTGCAAAAATCCAAAAGGAAACAGTATACTTGGAAAAACTGAAGATGTCCACCCCAATTTATGCAACCACAAAAGGGTTTTCCAGGATCAAACCAAGTTCAATGGTTGAAAATCGAAGTTTTTAAAGTATAGTGCTTTTTCCAGAATTTCTGCAGCTACAATGGTTTTTCTTAAAGTTAATGCAAGTGTAATGCTTACAAATGTTAATCACTCCTTAACAAACTCATTAACAGTTAAAAGATTTGACCAATTAAACATGATCAGCTTTAAATAGCCTGCAGCCAGTACATTTTTCAAGTCAATATTGCAGCTTGGACAATTAACGATGGAACTACTAATCAGCCAGAAAGCAAGCCAAATGAAATACCCTTTTACCACGAATAATACAAATATGTCACATAATTTACAGTAACGTTGATATAAATAGAATCCCCCCCCCACCCCCTTACCTTTCTTCTCGCTTTCAGTTGCCATTCTATGATATGCCCCCAATCGCTTCCATCATATTACATGCAATAGTTGTACCAAAAGTTGAATTGTTCGTAATACACTATGCATTCTATTCGCTTCAACCACCCCTTATGAATTTTACCTTAGATTTCATTGTCTATCTGGCTATTATATTTTCCTCCTCCCTATCCAAATGAATGCTTTTGCAATCTCCTTTAGAAACAACAATCTCTAACTAAACCAAATCCAAAATCAAACACCTGATAACCCCACTTTTAGGAAATTTGCGTATATGCAGCATTTTGAAACACAAAAAAGAAACATAATAACTCCTAACAGAAAACTCTTCAGTTGACTAAATCACATCGGATCTGAGCAAATTAACAACACCAAAACTCTGTTAAACAAAATTCAGATGGAAATGCTTAAAAAATGAAAGCACGAAGAAGAGGTTACCAACGAGAATGAGACGTTTGTCAGGTTTGGTAGAGCATTTCATACGACGAAGCAGCTCAGTCATTAGATCTACCGACGGAACATCCTCCAAAATCGCCGACGCTGAACTTGCCATACCTCCGTCTAGGGTTTTTCAGTCGCAAAATCTTTCAGAAAATTGGGATCAAAGAGAAGAGTTGTTCTTAGAGCATCTCCGTTTGCTTTGTGAGGGGGAGTTCGGTGCTTTTAGATATGCTTCGATTTCAAGCATGCGTTATACGAAAAAGTGTACCCACGGATTTCCACTTTTACCCTTCTTCAAAACTATTTAAAATTCTTTGGATCTATATCCAAATTAGGGATAGAACAGGAAAGAACCAAAAACAAAATTCAATGGTTTGGTACAGAATGATTAAGGTTATTTGTTACTTTTTAATAGTTTTATTAAGAGGTAATTTTTGAATTGTTAAAAGATGAATCTTGTTTGGCAGAAAAAATATGTCTTCTAATGGTTGTAAAACCCTCCGAATAATTTTGTATCATGGATCTCATTTAACCATTAAGAGCCATAATTTCATTGTACACAATTACCAAACAATTATATTTCATTTTGTACTATATCATGAGAGCCTCTTAATCATTCTGACCACTTAATCATTATGTACCAAATCATTCAGCAATTGTCAAATTAAAAGACTTTCATGATATAGTCTAAAATAAACTATAGTTGTTTGGTAATTATTTACAACGAACTTAGGGCGCTGAATGATTAAGGGAATCCCAAGATTTTTATAAAATCGTTCTGAGGATTTTAGAATCATTAAGAGGCATGTTTTTTTCGTCTAACGATTTCAGACAATGCCTCTTAATGGAACTATCAAGTTAAAAACAAACAACCCTCATCTAAATTGTTAGATTTCAACGGATGTGATTAAAAATGTGGTTAGTTTGGCATCCATTTTAATATATATTTGTCTTCCCTTTTTGTGTGATTCTCTGACTCTTTCTTTTTTCAAGGTTTTATGTAGATTATTGGATGGACGAGGCTGAGGTAGAGGTTGTTTGACAATTGTTGAATGGTTTGATGCAGAATGATTAAGTGGTCAGAATGATTAAGTGACTCTCATGATATAGTGCAAAATGAAATATAATTGTTTGTTAATTGTTTATAATAAAATTAGGGTGTTGAATGGTTAAGGGAGGGTCAGGGTACAAAATCATTCAAAGGTTTTAGAACTATTAGGAGACAGATTTTTTTGTCAAACAAGATTCACATGTTAACGATTGAGAAGCCGTCTCTTAATGGAACTATTAAGAGGTAAACAAACAACCCCGTAGACGAGAGAAAGAATTATGAAATGTTTTAGAGTTTTAATTTGATATGAACAATTTAGTAATTTAACAATCTTGTTCTATCTTCCTTATTTTTTGTTCCACCTAATTTTGTGGTGTAACAAAAAAAAAATGTATTTTTGTCATGTTCAGGCCAGGTTATACTTTCTGATGGTTTTGAAAGCTTACATGAGAGGTAAGGGGGAGTTTAGTTACCAAAGATCATTTGGCCTAGCGGTATGTGAGTTTTTGCCCTCTTAAGAGGCCAGAGGTTTAAACCACACCAAATGTGAGGAGAGTGTGTGAATTTATTTGCTCTATTTGCCGTATATAAATATTATATACTTCAAAAAAAATAAGGAGTTTAGTTTGACAGAATGTTTTTTAAGGATTTAGATTTCGTGAAAAAAATTGGAAATTTCGACAAGTTTATGTTGTATGATTTAAAATGAAATTGAATATATTATTTATAGATATAGAAATTGATAAGAATAAATTACAAAAATAATTAAATTACCTTTTATTAATTAATTAATAAAAAAAATGTTTTAAACATATTTTAGAACGTTGTTACAGACAAGTCATATAAATTTCACTTGAAATACAAACTATCCCCCAGGATTTCTAGATTTAATGCTTGTGGGTCATTAAAATCTCGGGATTTTAGTTCTGGTTTTTCTTTTAAATGAAATGCAGAATTGGAATGAAATCTGATTTCAAATCCCATCGAATCCTGCAAACTAAACGGGTCCCGTAAGATTTTTGTAAAGGTAGAGATGCAAATATGAAATGAATAAAAACAAAAAGTTTGAAAGAAATAAGCACAAAGTGTCGGCGTCACCAAATTTGGGGTCACCGATCTCTTCCTTGAAGATGGGGATGAGTCAATATCGGTTGAAGATGTGAAAACACTTCCTAATGTCGAATTCAAAAAACCAGCAAGAGGTTCCTCACTCTTCTCTGATCCGTCTTAGGGTCGAGTTCCAGAAACAATATCGGACGTTATTCCAGTTCGTCTCCATATTAGTGAAACTCTTCCTAAAGCAAGGCAGACTAATCTTCTACTGAGTTCCTTTTGATTGACCAAATTGTAAATTTTATAATGTATTAAAAATATATATCATTAAAAAAATTGAAAAAAATCTTATTTTTTAATGTCAGAACCGGCTGCCCATAACCGTTTATGAAGTCCCTTGACCGGTCTTACCATTTTCGACCAGGACCGGGAATAGCCGGTTATGAGAAAGTTTCGGACTGATCCGGCCCGGCCCAGGACCGGTTTTTGACCATCACTACCCATAAGTATAACTGTACAAGAGATGAAAATAGCAATAAACTACAAAAAATAAAATACTAAAAAAACATAGGAATAAAAATCATAAAATCAAAAGTATAGAGACAAAAACAGCAATTCCAACAAACCACAGGGACTAAAAACGTAATTTACTCAAAGAACAATAACATCACCAATTCAAAATCTAAGACCAGTGGTTTATTCAATGTTACAATCCCATAAAGTTTCTCAATTCAAGAACAAAGCATGAATCAAGATTTCACTTCTTACCCAAATCTTTTTCAAGCATTGCTCTGACCCTCATAGGCAATCCATACAGCTTAATGAACCCAGCAGCATCAGCTTGATCGTAAATCTGCCCGCTTTCAAACGACGATATATCCTCCCTGTACAGACTATACGGGCTCTTCCGGCTAGCAACGATCACCGAGCCTTTGTACAGCTTGAGTCTCACCGAACCGGTGGTGGTTTTCGTGATGTTCTCCATGAATGCATCCATGGACTCACGAAGCGGGTCGAACCACCTGCCTGCGTAGACCAACTCGGCGTACTTGAGGGCCATGGTGTCTTTGAATTGGATGGCTTCTCTATCGAGGGTGAGAGACTCGAGTTCACGGCAAGCGGCGGCAAGGATGGTCCCACCGGGAGTCTCGTAGACCCCGCGGCTTTTCATTCCAACGAGACGGTTTTCGACCATGTCGATTCGGCCGATACCGTGTCGGCCACCGATGTCGTTGAGCTCGGACAAAAGAGATGCAGGGGAGAGTTCTTTTCCGTTGATGGAAACAGGGATTCCGGAAACTATCCCTATTTCAAGGTACCTAATGTAATAGCAATAATTGCAGTTAACGACAAAATGTCTACATCAATGGGTGTTGCTAGGATTTTATTATACTTCATAACATGTAGCATCTGGAACTGGAACATATAAAGCTCATGTTTGTCAACCATTATCAAACTTATTTTTTGAGCTTATTGAAAAAGCCCAAACTAACCCGTTTGGTTAGCCACAACTCAAGCTAGTTTTTTGGAAAGCTCTTTCAATAACCTCCAGGTTTTTTCCAAAAATCTTTTCATTTATGCCCCTTATATTTATTCTATACTTGATGTATAAAAAATGGTTTCTAAGATTTTCTATTAAATGTTTTATAAAAATAAATATAAATTTGAAAATAAGTTGTACTTACGCACAATTTACTTGTAATCTTGAATTTTAAGTACATGCATCAATAAGCAGTAATTGATGCATAAAAATGGTTTTTATAAGCTTTTTCAAATGATTTATAATATAGTATAGATGATCAATGTGGGCAAACAGGGACACATCACTCTCCTTTGTCCCCCCGGTTCGCAACAGGAAAAAGGTTTGCAATTGAACTTTCCTATATATAAAGCAAAACCTTAATCCACAAAAAAAACAAAAATGTAAAGAGAGCTTACTCGGGTTTGTCGGGCGCATCTTCTGGGTCAACAGACATCATGTACATATCCTTGTTGGGCTCGTTTGCAGGGTCCTCCAAGATATCTCCCTTTAATGCCACAGAAAAAAGATGAATAAAGCCGAAGAAATAAAGATTCATTTTGCTCGACACAAATAAGCCTGGGAATCTCAAGTAACGAAGGAGAATATACCTCGTGACTGAGGTGCCATAGGTTCCTGTCTCTACTATAAATGGATTTCTTTGTCACGGGGACAGGCACATTGTGTTTCTTGGCATACTCAATAGCATCTTCCCTTCCCGTTATATCCCATTCCCTCCAAGGAGCCACGACTTGGAGATCAGGATTAAGGGAAAAGAACGTGAGCTCAAAACGCACCTGTACTGGGACAAGAAAACACACACAAAAAATGAAAATTATGTAGAAAAGTACCACATTGTAGATGACGCTATTTTGAAGCATGCCTGATCATTTCCCTTTCCTGTGCATCCATGAGCAACAGCATCTGCTCCAACATCTTTTGCTACATCCACCATTGCCTTTGTATTTGCATCACATATCATCTTTCAGTTAACTTCAGAATAAAGAAACTACTCCCAACGTCCCAAAATAAACGTCCATAATAAAAATGAAACTTTTACTATTACACTTTTCAATTCACTAAATGACAATTTTACACTTAAAACAGAGGGAGTAAGAAATTCTCCATCTCATAGTTAAAGATAGAATTGGAAAATAGACACTAACTTTTGAAAGTGGATACTTATATCAGGACAAACTAAACATGAATTGTGGAAATAGATTTTGGGACTGATGGAGTAGTAGATTACCTTAAACAGAAATGGAGGGGGATCATTTCACTTGTTTTAGTTTAATTACTAATATTTAGTAGGTTATCAGCATCTATCTATTATCTTAACATGTATTTTGAACTTCACCTTTGCAATAACAGGCCTGGCCATTGACGTTCCCAACAAGTACTTTCTTTCGTATACTGCCCCAGCTCGCAAACAAGGGTATACATAATCTTTCACGAATTCTTCTGTCAAATCTTTCACCACCAATTGACAGGCTCCACTTGCCTTGGCCTTCGCTTCCAGACCTTCCAATTCCGAGATCCCCTAAAAACAAATAATAGAAAAAGATTGAATAACAGGAGGTGAGCGATATATGGGTCTCTCGCTCACACATTCTTGATTGATGGCATGCAAAGAAATAAGATGACACAAGTGAAGTCGACCATCAAGTCTACTTTTATTTACAAATGAACTAGATTGATCGAGTTATATGGCTTTTTTTACAAACTAGCTAACGAGAGTGAAGATACCACAGAGGCGGTTGTTAATTCAGTTAATAGGACTACCCAGCAATTACATAGTTTTCCAAGGAGTAATGTGAAATTTTACATCTGTAAGGGTCGTTGAGCTAATACCATATTCTTTAGGGGTTTGTTTGTAAACATTCCTAAGTTATTTTCCTATGTGTGTGTTCATTTTCCAGTTAATCAAGACAGAAAATTCTACACAAATCTTCAAAGAGATCTCTAACCGTTACCCATTCTTGCAAAAATTCTAATAAAACACTATAGTTTGCCGGGATGAATGCTTTTAGACAAATGTTTGTAATGTATAGGCAAAACAACCATCATACATTGCATTTTTTCCGAATTTGGCTGTTCCTGTAAAGTGTAGTGTTTTCTGGCATATAAGCAGTGCTTTGCTTGCAATGAAAAGCCAAACATTATGTTTTAAAAGCCAATCAATCCAACTGAATTAAATAAAAACATTCTATAGAACTTACTTGGCCAACATCTGCAGTAAAGCAGACAACCTCACAGCCATAATTCTCCCTGCAACATTGAAGGCAAAGTTGGGAGAACTCAGATGCAGTATGAGGCAAGCAACATGAAACTAGAAAAACACATAGAAACTAATAACTAACTGAAGAAACGCATTACGTTCATCATGTGAACAAAAAATTATCCTACTATAATATGAATCAAACACTAAAAACTGCCTAAAATTCAAATTTGCATGAGTTCATGGATTGTTGCAGAAATTTGCAAGCTCTATATGAATAAGCAACATAAGAATAAGTTGAATGAGTATCATAAGATGATAATTAATCAAAGAAAAATCTTGTTTTGCTTTGTTTGAAGCCAAAAATCCACAAGTGAAAATCTCCAACAAGGTTTAGACTTCAGTGAAGTTCCCAAATTTGCCTATGAAGGGCAGATGGAGGGCCAAGAATCCAATCTTGGATTCGGTATGGATAGAAGTACGTATAATTGTACCTTAGCCAAGGAACAATCACCGACGTATCCAAGCCACCACTATACGCTAGGACAACTTTGTTCAATTTACCACGTAGACCCCTTCCATTAGTGGCACTTGATGCATCTGTTTCCTTATCACTGGCCAACACTGCTCGAATTCCTGCCCATCAAACACATTCCTTGTATTAGGCTTTTTCACACCACCAATATTATATAGGGTTTATGCCCTAGAATGCACATATTAAGGTGCATTTAGTGTCCCTAAATTCTACTCAGAAAAAACCATTTCCTACTAATTTTTCCCTCTACCAAAGTCACCTTTCCCTTCTCTTGATCAAATTAACTTTTAACCAAATTTGTTGAAGGAAAAAATTAATAGGAAATCGGTTTTTCAATTAGAACAGCTAAGACAAAACCATAAAATAATTATAATAATAAACCAGACAAAAAGGAACTTTCACAGGCGAATTTGTTAGGGTATGCTCATTGCTCAAGCTCAAAGTACTGTTCTAATACAAATATTCTCAGTTCGATCCTCTTTTCTCTCATGGTGATCAACACCAAATTGCTAGTAGTTCTATAAAGAGTTACGAAGAAGCGACCAGGATACTGAACGTCGAAAATTGCAAAATATATATAAAAAAATGAAGTGATTAAGCCAAAAGTACCTTGAGTTTTACATGCCTGCGAAAGATTCCTAGTGCTACGATAAACAAATGGAACTCCACGAAACTCACTTGCTTTAGCCCCTAATTTACATTCTACGAAAAAAACGTACAACAGATTCACAAACGGTTATGATCTATCGAAGAACAACAACAATCAGAAAGCATCAAAACACAGTGGAGCAAGAATCTGAACTAATTTGATACCAAATTTGCAGATAGATTACCTCGATTTGGAGCAGGAGCAAGGGGATTTACGGAAGATGTCACAGCTTGCAAGTGAGCCATTGAAGTGTCAGTGGTGGCTGCGTTGTGTATCTGTTTACTCCTTCACACGCAGAGTGTGTTTATCTGACAGTGATGAGTAGGGTTAAAAAAAATAGTAAATTACAAATATTGTCCCTGTGATTTGGAAGAACTCTGTTTTAGCCCCTTGACTTTAACAATTAACACTAGTAACCATGTGGTTTGCATTTCGTTATGATTTATGGTCCCTGACCCCAACGTCTGTTAGTATATGCCATTAAGTGCCTACACGTGCTAGTCATGTGAGCGGCATTTTGTTTATTCAATAAAAAATTCCTTTGAAAATAATTATCGTAAAAACTTTGTTTATTCAATAAAAAATCGTGTTTATTTATCCAAACAAAGACCATAAAATAAACATAGTTTTTTAAGCAATAGGTCCATAAAACATATACATATATAGGGTTGGGTTCATATGAAGCTAACATGTTTTCGTGAGACCCGTGAGACTATTTTTTTACACTTGAAATTTCATAACAAAACGCTGTGAAAGTAATATGTCGTTAATGAAATATAAAATACATACATCGTTTGGTTTATATAATGAAATATGTCGGGATTATAATACGTTAAAGCAATTAAATTAAATTTAATCATATTTGACCATGCACCTTGGAGTTGGCAGAAATTAGAGTGAAATATGTTAATAGAGTTTGAATACGTCTACTCATTCATTGAATAAAATAGTGATGGTGGGGTGGAGACGCTAGTAGTGTCAATGGTGGTGGTTGGCGGTAGTGCTGGTAGTAGTGGCAATGGTGGTGGTGGTGTTGTTGCTGTTGCTGACCATGATGGTGGTGGTAGCGGTGGTTACGACAACAGTGGTGGTGTAGGTGAAGGCTATAATAGTAACGACGGCGATGACAGTGACAACGGTGGCAGCAACGACTGATGGTGACATCGATCATGATAGGAGGGGATGGAATGGTAAGAGATAATTAAAATTCTTTGTTAGAAGTCTAAGGAATCTACATTCCATCATATGTGGAATTCAAATTCCTTGTCAAACTCAAAGAATGAACCAACATATGAATGGAATTAACCATTTCAATTCCTTCAAATTCCGTTGGATTCCAACGAACCAAATGTCATCTGAGTGATATTAACAGCGAGGAGGGTACATGAGTATTTATCATACATAAATATTGTATACTTCAAAATGAAAATCTTTAACACATTTGTACCTAAAACCCACTAAATATCATATCCAACCTGCTATACGAGCCGACTAATCTCAGGGCGACCATCTGCTTTGTAGATAGCCAGGAGTCACCGCATTTGAACCTCCATGGCTACAAGGGGATTTTTATTCCTCCTTGGATTTGAAACTGGGACCTGCTGTACTTTTGACCTTTGGAGCCAAGTTCAAACCAATCAGACACCACCATTGTGGTTAGAACCCACTAAATATTAACATATATTTACAAATATTAACATATCGTTACAAATTTTAACATAAAAAACTTAACATACCTTAACATGAAGACTTAAGATGATAAGATCACGTGAAAACTTTTTTTTTTTGTAAGAAGACGAATAATAATACACCCAGGGACGGACTTACAGTCGTGCCAACAACAGCACGTGTCACCGTATTATTTCTCCGTCGAAGAGTACAAAAATTAGTTCGCGAAATATGCAACAATATGAATTTGTTACATGCCACCATATGTATTTTGAAACTACAACGTGAACAAGTTTTCTTTGGTAGAGTTGATTTACAAGGCTCTTATTCCACCTCAGACCCAAGTTTGAATCTTATTAGTATTATTTTCTTAATCAAACGATGCCACAATTTAAACTTTTTTCCTATATTTGTTTCTTATAGCCAAATGATACCACGGTTTGAAATTTTTTTTGGATCCGTCCATGAATACACCTCACATGCGTTAACATGAAAAACTTCGAACCTTAACATATCTGAAGATTTGAGACGATATTATCACATATGAAACAATACCATGACCTACACTGGAGCAAGGTCTAGGGCAGGGGCGTTAACAAGTCAAACTTTTAACATGCTAATCGAGCCCATACACCATTTAACTTAACAAGTCAGAGCTCCATAACCCCAATGTTCAACTCAACTCCTTCAATAACTCGATCAAATTTTTCAAGCTAAGCCAAACCAATCAAGCACACCCTTTTTCCCAAACACATTCATACATTCATAAATCAAATAATCAAAGTACAGAAATTATAGAAGTCAATTAATCAATCTCAAGTTCAAACCCATTAACGAGCATCAAACTTAAGTTCGAACATTGAAAGAAATATTCAAACTTGAACTTATTCAAGCTCAAGTCTCATGACATTTTTCCTAGACATGCTTGAATAACCTGCAACTTGACTTGACTTTTTTTTTCGATTAACCTGGATATCCAACCCGTTATGCGAGCCAACTAATCTCAGGATGACCACCTGCTTTGCAGATAGCCCGGAGTCACCGCATTTGAACCTCCGTGGCCACAAGGAGATTTTTATTTCTCCTTAGATTTAAACTAAAACCTCCTGGTACTTTTGACCATTGGAGTCAAGCTCAAACCAATCAAGCACCACCCTTATGGTTAACTTGACTTGACTTGTTAACACGCTGGATGGAACAACTACATCCATACAGACCCCAGAAGAGAGAGAGAGGGAGGGAGAGAGAGAGATGTAGAAGAAATGCATAAGATTGATAGAATATACTAAATTTTATTGGTGTGAGTGAGTGAGTCAAATGAAATAAGGGTGCAAAAGAGATGGGGGGGTAGAAACAAAACAAAAGCCAAAAAGCAGCCTTTATGCCACAACCATCTCACAACAAGAACAAAACTACTACTTCACTTCACTTCACTTCTTAACTTAAGAAGAAGAAAGAGAGAGAGAGACCTATACTTGTTCAATTTTACAAACATCCTTTTCCTTTTTTCTTCCATCAAGGGTTATCCCATGAAGAAGAGCAAGAAGAATCACATGAAGTAGCTCAGTGCCTTTTTTCTTCTTGATCCTCCCTCTCCATACAGTTCATTCCATTGCACTAGCTCATTCATGTTTACCGACTCCGATGACACGCTCGCACATACCTACCATCAACACAACAATCATCTTTATAACCCTACTTTACCCATAAGGGTGTATTTGGTACGCAACATAGGACTGAACAAGACTGGACGGACGAAACTGAGGTAGGCGCGTGAAAGAATTCTGGAAGGTAGGGTTTAAGTCTGACATGGGTAGTTTAGTAATTTAGGTTTTAGGGTTTTCATTTGACATGGATAATTTACCCATAAGGGTGCATTTCGTACACAAATAGGACCCGATGGGCAAGAGTGAGGTAGGCAAGTGAAATAATTGTGGAAGGTTTTATGTTGTGTTCTCGAAACCTTCGTTATGAAGGAAAAGAAAGGGGGAAAACTAAAAAAAGAAAAAAGGGACTCGTGTTCTTGACTATTTCAGGGGGGGGGGGGGAAGAGAGGGGAAAGAAAACGGAATGAAAATAATAATAAGTTTCCTCCAAAAAAAAGAAAGAAAATGAAAAAATTAAATCCCCTTAAAAAGATTATTAAAATTACAAAACTACCAAACTTTTCATTTTATAGGATATACTTTTAAAGGGTATATTCGTAAAATGACATCTTTCCCGTTCCTTTCTCTCATATTCAAGAACATGAAAAATTATTTTCTTTCTTTTTGTTTAATTCCTTTTCCTTCCATCCCGTGAACACAAATAGAAAAAACTTCTTTTCCTTTTCCTTCCTTCCATTTATTTTCTTCCCTTCGCTGCCCAAATTTGGGTAGTTTAGTAATTTACAATTCTTATCTCCATCTCCCATACTTTTATCCCACCTATGTCAGTTTTTCCCACTCAGGTCCTGTCTTGTCCCGATGACAAACCGGGGACAAGTTTTTGCTACGCAAACAAGACTGGACCGGTGAAAGAATTGTGGAATATTTTAGGGTTTAAATTTTGACAGGGGTAGTTTACCAATTTTATCTTGGTTTGTCCCGCTCAGGTCCTGTCTTGTCCCAGTGTCAAACCGAGAGAGGGGGGGGGGGGAGAAGGAAGTGGGAGCAACAAGTTTTGTCCTATCCCATGTACCAAATGCACCCTAGAACGGAGAAGGGGCATATGTAAGATCTTACCTGTTCATGAGCAAACTTAAAGTCCTCCAAGTTTAAAGGCCGGATATCAGAACTTTCACTTAGAGCTGGAGTCGGCTTCCCTTCTGCTATAGCCGCAGCATGCTCCTGCCCCCATCAAAACATATTCCAATAACATTCAACAAACAACTTCGTAATTTAATTCAAAATAAACATGTTTTCTTTTGCCAGATATCATATACTAGGCTCGTTTGGTTTGGTTTGATTTCATTTATACGACACGTTATGGAGCAAAAGCCGCATACCTTTTTTTCCTTCTCGATGATCTCTCTAATCGGGCGATGTGCAGCAGTAACACATAGATTCTGCAATATCAACAAGTATCAGCAGTCATTCCACCTGTCACTTTGGGTGCGTTTGTAGTCCAGACAGGCAGGACAAGACAAAAAAACTAGCGTTTGGTAATACAGAACTGGATAGGACATAACTGATAAAATGACCAATTTACCCCTAATGAATTGTTTTGATCTTTTATATATATTGATTAATTTATTAAATTTTAATAAAATAAATATTTTTATAACAAAATATACCATTAGAAAGTTGTCGTCGAGACAATAAAAATGACACCAAAGTAAATTGAATGTTTAAATAGCATAAAGTGCAATAAATAAAATTTAAAGAATGAATAAAATGTGAAGAGGGAGACGTATTTGATGTTTTAGAAGAGAATTAAGTTTTATTTTGAGGTTATATTGGTAAAATATAGGTTTGTTCCACTTTGTTCCACATAAAAGTACTGCCAAACGTGGAACAATGATCCCTTTTATGTTCTATCTGTGCATTGTACCAAACGCACCCTTTAAGTTTATTTAAACGTTAAACCAAAAAGTAAAAAGAAAACCGAACCTTAAGGTCGCTTCCAGAATACCCCTCGGTCATGCTTGCAACTGCATCCAAATCTATATCAGGAGACAAATCTTCTTTTGCTAGTATAACCTTTAAGATCTTTGCCCTATTGGGAGCATCTGGTAAATTCACCATCAATCTGCAAAATTAAGAGAAAAATACATTAAAGTATACAAATTTCATCAAAGGGAAAATAGCTTATATTTCATTACCTACGGGGAAGCCTTCTAATAACCGCCTCATCAAGGTCAAAAGGTCTATTTGTGGCTGCGAGTACAAGAACCCGTTCTGTATCTTTTGTGCGTAAACCATCCCAATTCACCATGAATTCATTTTTCATTTTACGCATGGCTTCATGTTCACCCGGATTCTCCCTCCGCCCCAACATGCTATCCACCTTGAAATATGAATTTACATATGCTTAATCAATTAGTTAATTCAATATAATATTAAGATTCACACAGGAAACAGCCGCTCTACCCTCGGGGGTAGAGGTCAGGTCTGTGTACATCTCACCCCTCCCAGACCCTGCTTTTGAGTGAGATATACTGGGTTTCTTTGGTTTTAATACAATATCAAGATCAAGACAAAAGAAATGTTTCAAAATCGTACTTCATCCACAAAGACGACACTTGGAGAAATCTTGCTAGCCAGCGTAAAAACAGCCTTCACGTACTTTTCACCCTCACCGAACCACTGAGTAAGAGACACGGGAAAACAAAAGTGAGCAAAAAAAAAATTAATGAAGTAATTATACTCATCTTTGTAAAAATGGACCTTTGATGTGATGCTCGACATGGATATATTTATGAAGTTAGCACCAGCTTCAGTAGCCACGGCCTTAGCAAGCATGGTCTTTCCGGTTCCAGGAGGCCCAAACAGAAGGATGCCCTTGCATGGCTGTATGTGAAACACAACTATATCAGACCTCAATTGTTTCAAACACCTATTCAAGTTTATATATCTATACCCATATCGGATTATGCACAAGGGCGATAACATAATTAAATTAGGGTATGAAAATGATGACAGAAACCAGAAACTCAATGAAGATTTAGGTTGCTAGAAAACCATAGTCTGTATGCCCGTAGAGCAATGTGTACCCATATATCAGGTGCTTCATTTAATCTGAAGGGCTGTTATACAGACAACTCTGAGGCCTAAAGGACATTGATCCAACAGCAGAAGATGACAGAGGGTCCGGGATACCAAATCAAACCAACCCAGTAAGGGCCTGCTTGTTAGCAGCTTAATAAGCTTAATGGGACTCGCAGCTTATTCAGTCAGCTATACATGACTGTTTGGTAGTAGCTTAATGATATAGAAAGTGGCTTATTCGGTAAGCTTCTAGGGGGGAGCTTTATGCAGAAAGCCAAGTTTTTATCCAAACATATCCTTCGCAATTAAAGGAACACGCTCATTCCATCTATGAGAAAACCCTCCCAAACAAAAACCATTCCAATCTATAAAGACAGATTAATTCACACCTACAACTATATCCATACAGGACTTAATGGAAAACTAGCCAAACAGCCCCTAATAACTCCCACCTGGAGGTGGATCTTTTTTGATAAAGGGTAAAGCTTGCTCAAAAAGATTTGCAGAGAAAGAACATAAGAACCTGAAAATACGAAAAGCAGTGCTAAAAATTGGAAATGAGTTAGAAGTAAGCAACAACAATCAAAAAAAATATACAAACAACAAAGAAAGCATACAGACAGACAAAGCAGGTATGAGAAACCATAAACAAGGATAAACATACGAGAGGAGTTGTGAAGCAATTAACTTTAACCTCCTAAAACCTATACCCCGGCTACTTAAATCATAAAAAGTCAAAGAAGTAAAAAACCTTGGTCAATTGGCCTTTGCAGAAAAGCTCGGGTCTTTGAAGAGGGAGCATCACCAACTCTTTCAATGTATCCTTGACCTTTTCCAGTGCTCCAATGTCATCAAAAGTTACTCCAATGTCACTAGGAGGTATAACATCAGCTAGAAGCCTTTTCTCAAATTCATTTTCCGTCACGACATCCTATAGATGCATCAAATAGTCAAAAAAAATTGACATTAATTCAATTTAGATATTTTTGGTAAGAAACTATTTCAACAATCTAAAGAATAAATCAATACTCCAAATCTTTAGTGGCTAGAAATCATTATAAACACCTTTAGAGACTTCTTCAAGCTCTTGGATTCATTCTGGATTGCTTGGAGGATTTCAATACCATACTGTATGCTGCGAGATGGCAATGTTACCAAATCAACAATTACGTACTCTGCAACAAAAAACAAAAGAAACAGATAGGAAAACGGTAGTTTCAAATACCTCTCATTTGAAAGAACAAGTCTTGCATCTGGATCAGCTTGAGCATGCTGCATTAAATGATGGCTTAGAGCCCATCCAACGACCTTCTCAGCACCTTCAATACAATCCCAAAATGATTATTTGATATAAATAATAATTTCTCTTACGAAAATCATTTGAAAGATTCCACATTTCCACAAATAAGTCTAACAAGTAAAGTATGTTTTGTAATAGAAGAAAAAGTTAGACATACCTTCATTTGTAAGTAATTGATCCTTTATGCACAACGTATCAAGCCCATCACATTCTAAGCCAGTCCGATTGAGGATCTGTCATAGTAAATTCAAATCATTATGATATATTATACTCCATCGCACAAAATTCAAAACCTTTGCCTTTTTTGTGATATACCACAAGTTGAAACGTTTTCATCTATTCGGGGGTGGGATCTGAACTCATGATTCTTTCAACTATCACCGTTTGGAAAAAAATAGAACATGTAATATTAGCAAATTGATTGGCAATGAAAAGTTGCTCACATTACGTAGATTATTCAGATTTCCCTTCATCTTTAAAGTTTCAGCATCTCGATCCAATTGCTGCTTCCAACTAGCAAGGAGGCCCTCATCCTGCAAAATTTCACGAATTATTGCTACTTCTAGAAAAAATAACGACGCAGAAAATTAACAAGGGACTAAAGGCACAAACCTGAGGCATGTGAATGGTCACTTTATTAGGAAAAAGTCTTGTTAAAAGTTTAGTCGCCTTAGGAACCTCCTTCCCCCTTTCATGTAGTCTCCCAAAACTATCCTGAAATGAGAGATGCTCAACGCCATTAGGCCTTTCAGGATGTTATGTTGCTAAGATCTGTATAAGTTTCATGAGTTGACAGTAAGTGCTGCTGTAGACAATAAACACATGGGTATCCCAAATTCCTATATCATTTAGTTGGTCAAACAGGAACTGGTGTTTTCAAGATCTTATCAACATAAAACTAAGGGGCTGTTTACCCAAATGCTTACCCAGTAAGTGCTTACTTATAGGAGTCAACACTATAATTTATCTTGATGCGTAAGATTTTAGTACATCAAAACGTATTGAATGCAACAATTTATCGGGTAAGCACTTATCTGGCTAAGAGTTGCCATCTTCATTTACCGGGTAAGACTCTACATCCTTTTCATCGCTCTTACCCGGTAAGATTCTTGACCCTCGTCATGTTCATCCGATAAGAAAATTTATCCGGTAAGCACTTACCAAGCAAACGTTTAGTAAACGGCCCCTAACTGTACTAAGGTTCTACGCTGTCTCCCAAAACTTAATTAGACAGTTTGCCAAGGCTCTTCGGCAGTTTTAGATGATCCCTACATGGCTGCAAGTTTGTCTCCCTGGGTTTGTTTAAGATGTTTTTAAAGGTTTTCTGAGAGTTTTGACTTGCTGACAAACAGAATCATTAGTTTGTGTTCTATCGATATCGACAATGGCATCATCAAGTGACATATCACATATGTAGACAAGAAGATCATATTCACATTGAAGATCATAGAATTTCATTGCCAAAAAATGTTAGGTCAGTAATCAAGGACGGATATGATACTTCCTAGGGATAGGTATCATGATCACATCAGGGAATTCTGCTTTGCCAAAGAAAATATCTTTTAAATGTCCTCTCCAAAGTGGGCTACTTGGATGGCAACCATTAAACTCACCTATGATTCACTCCGAATAACTATTGATTGAGGACAAGAAGCACTTAAATGATGCTAACAATCACATGAGATTAGTCTAAAAACGTATTTACCAGTTGTTACACGTTGTTATATTACAGAACCCGTGTGTAGTCAATTAACTCGTATTTGCACCATTACACCATTTGTTACTTTCTTTGTTGTGGGGTCCTAGTCTTCTGAGTAAGAACTAACAAAATGATGCAGCTATATTGCAATAAGTGGTCTACAAAATCCATATATCCGAATCATGTATCCAAATAGGAAACCATCCAATGTAACCTATAAGGGAACTCAAATTGACCTTATGCCGTGATGCAAGGTAGAAGTATCTATGCACCAACAGAGTTCGAGGAAAAAGATTAGAATATGTTTCCAATATTATCTATTATAAATACTCTCTTATCATTTAGATAAAGGTGTTCCCATGGAGTGCGATTGGAAAAACATGGCATTCATGAAGGAGTGGTAGTAATATTTTTGTTATTTTCTATTAGGTTTTCCGTTATGTTCCAACTAAATATGGGTTTCCTTATGATCATCCTCCATCCACGAGCCCCTCTTATAAGTTATTATAAAGGGTCCCTCATTAAAAATAATCAATGTTGTAAAATGCTTGCACATGCCCATGGTGCTCTATTTTCTTTTCAAGCAATAGCCCACCAAAAGTTTCACAATGCTCTCACCCATTATAAGTGTTATATCATAAATATCTTTACACAAGTGAGAGTAAGGAGCTGTTTGGTTGGTTTTTCATTGTCGTGTATAGATAAAGCTTTCTGTGTGGATTAATCTGTCTGTATAGATTGGGAGAGTTTTTTTCATAGATGGAAGGAGATGTTTTTTAATTGGGAGGGGATGGTTTGGAAAAAACTTGACTTTCTGCATAAAGGTCCCCCCTAGAAGCTTACCGAATAAGTCACTTTCTATATTATTAAGCCACTACCAATCAGTCATATATAGTTGATCAAATAATTTGTGTCTCATTAAGCTGCTAACAAACAGGCCCTAAGACTATATAGCTTTGTGGTCCCAAAAATTCCTAGGTGGAAGTCTAACCAATGTAACAAATATAAGCTAGCTCTAAAATGTTTAAATGGAACACCGTTATCCCATAACCACACTCCAGAAGTGAGCAAGTTTCTACAAAGTTCAAGGCCCTCATCCTTTCCAACTTGTACAAGGCAAGTCTTCAAATGGAAAAAAGAAGAAAACCCCAAAAAATATTAACTTATGCAATCCAATTAATTCCCTTTGCACCTTGCTTTAAGGTTTGCCAATCTACTCATAAGACATTAAGGGGATATGATAATGAACCGAACTTATATACCAACAAGTATTACAAATCAACTCCAGTATTTCCAACCAAAGTGACTAATGAATTTGCAACTTCATATAGATATGCAAAGAAAACTGTGGAGGCTAATTATTCATGTAAATGTAACATGATGCAAACCATCGAAATCGACGTTCAGGGATGATCGAGCAAGTTTTAACTCATAAAAACATTGAAACACATGAAGTATACAAAAAAAAGGTTAGAAGGTAAGTATTCTGTCACAAGACTGGTAACAGAAGTTCCAAAAGGACTAGTAAAAAAGCATTATCCATTCCAACCAAACAAGCAAGGAATGTTTATTTTCATCCTCTAATCCTCAGGACTTTTGGAGGGGCAAAACATGTCCTTACCGGAAAAGCCAAGTCAAGCAGAGCGGTTTGGTTGCTGCCAAATTTTGTGAAAAGCAAACCGCCAGGATGTGACTGCAAGAAAAGCAAATGAAACAAAATTATTAACAACAATACTTTTGTACACCTCCAAATGGAGTCCGGCAGCATTCTAAACAAACAGGTGGAAAGATAAACAGCAAGAACATATTGCAGCCTGCCAAAATTGCAAAACACCCCCCCACATAGTCTCTCTCTCTCTCTCTCTCTGTGTGCCTTCTAGAAATTATTTTGAATATGATGCTCAGAAAGTTCATGTTGATGGATACTAACATCTACGAGAGTCTCAGATGCTCAAATTAATAGGATAACGTAAATAGAATTGGACTACAAATTTCCGTTATGTTTTAAGCACCTTGATCTTGGGGGATATTACCTTTTCTTTGCGATTGTCAGTGTGAGTATGTGAACCAATTACGACAACATTGTCTGGGAGTTTTTCAAGCCTGGTTTTGAATGTGGAATATGATTCCGAGCTCCCAACAATGGACTTCTCTGCATCTTTCATGAACAAAATAAAAGGAAGATTCCGACTCTCGCTGGATACAACCTGGCACAACAGGGTATGGTCATTGGCACCCTTTAAATAGAGAGAAAAAGACTGAAACAGCAAGGAATAGAATTGTTTTCGAAACCGAAGCCTACCTCAAACAAGGTGCTGATGAGTAACTTATCCAGATCTTCTACACCGGTTGAATCCAAGCGAATTTCATTAGCTGGTAATGATAAGAGAGCATAAGAAACGCCAAGGAAAAGAACCCACATTAGAGGGAGTAAGAAACACTGAAAAAAGCAAGCCACTTAAGCTTCTGAGCATATGGTAAGTTACCAGAGCAAAAATATCCATAACCCCCATCACAGAGTCCCCCAAAATCAACCCCATCAGGAATGAGTTTATCAAACTTCACACCAATCTTTGAGAGAGAATTGTCTTCAAATGGTAGGAGAACCCTCCCACGAGCTCCAGAAGTTGGACCCCTAAGGTGAAAAAGATAGTAGCAACCATGAACACTAATATAATTCATGCCGCTTACACAGACAAACAAAAGAGTTGCACAAAGTGGAAACGAAATTGTACCTTGAAGTAGATGAAGAAGAGTATATGACTCCAGAAGCAGGACCTATAAATTTTACGCGGTCACCTACACATTTTTACTTCATTTTGTTAAAAAAGGGAAAGAATTGGAATAAACAAAGATTAAGCAATTCTTGGGTATCAGAAGACACTAAGTTCTCTTCCAGCATACCCAATTTGAATGTTGGGCTTTTAGAGGTTCCTGCAGCAGGGGGGACAAAGTCGATCTCCATTTTCTGTTGTGGTTCAAGGGGTAATGAAGAAGCATTTTCATTTCCTGGAACATCTAATTCACTAGAGGTACTTGCAGTGCCTGTCAACAGAGTAGCGGCACCAGGACTTTGCTTAGGAACATTGCTGGTGCTTCCTTCTTTCAGTAGCTCAGCTTTCAATGATAAACCCTAAAAGACAATTCAATTAAATGAGTTAATTGCTAAAGAAGAAACATGGAATAGCTAGCCGCAGACAAGCAATCCTGAGAGAAGATGGTAGATGAAATTTTATAATACATCAGACATATTAAATCTTACACCCAGGAACGAATGGCTATCGAATATAAGCAGTTTAGCGCCATAATACCGAGCAAGTGCCTTTGCTAGCATCTCCTGATAAATTTCAGATCCTAAAAAAGAGGGGTAAAATTCAGACCAAAAATTCATAATAGCAACTCCAATACAATCAAACGGCAAGAAATATAAAATTTAAGACATACCTGCGGGACCAGAAAGCAAGATTCTAGGATTCACAGTAGGGAGTTCAGAGGCATATTTAACCTGGTCTCTATGCTTCAAGTGTATATAAGAAGCTGCAATAAGCACATTTTTGGTGTTCTCACTGCATAAGCAAGTAGATACGACACATAAGATTTGTCAGATACGTTAGGCAACATGCCCCAATTCCAAGATGTACACATCTAATCCTTCTTCTAAACATTAAACAGAAGTACCAATCAGCCCTGTTTTTATATTTAGAAAACTAATATCCCTATGCAGACATATAGTAAAGTGAATATTTTGCAAATGTTGCTTCCTAAGCCTAAAACCTGCAGCCAAATAATACAAAGGGACCAACATCATGAAATGTGGGTTGGAAGACCCGGCAAAATGAGAATCATGAACAGTGCCAAGAAAATGTCCTTCAAACATTTTTTTCCTGATAACTGCATAATAGAAGTGTTCGCTATATACTTTACATACCAAGGCTTCAACAACAAGTAGACTAGGAGACTTTTAAAAGGAAAATGTGTTGGAGATGGAGTACTCAACCACTACTTTAAGCATCTGCCAGTACGAGATATAAAATTATGGCCAACTACAATCTATCAACATGATTCTCGTGCATATGATCTTAGAACATAGCCAAAGAATTCAGCAACACTCACAAGAAAAAGAGGAAGAGGGAGTGATGGTAAAATATACAGCAAAAAGAATAACATGATAACTATTTCAAAAGTATGTAAACCTGCTAGGCTGTTTTAATATATTTTTTGAAATAGGCAGCTTTAACATATAGCATGAAACTGAAAGAACACTTAAGCAGCACATCCTGTAATAACATGATAAAGTATAAAACCTTAAATAATATGGGAAGTCGTCAAAAGAAACTTCAACTTCTCGCCCATCAATAATCCCAGCAAGAATCTCTTCCTTCAACATTGCAGATCTTACAGACATTCCTGGTGCTGATGGAGGTAAAGGATCCCTGGTCCACTCCCTTGTTTCCAGCGCCTGTTGAAAATATGTTTGCTTTTAAGCCCAATTACACTAGTAGATGATGTTAGCAGTTGGGAAATAATTAGGCACAAAAAGCTTTACATTTCCTGTTTCAGTAATACTAGGGTCTAGGCTGCTGCCAAGAGGCGTGATCTTGCTTGTAGCTCCAATTTCAGATGCACTATCATTAGCAGTGTTGGTAGCTGAAGTTACTTCAAGACCATCAACCTCATCATCATGATTAGGATGACGAAGCTCCGTACCCGGATAAGGTTTGGGAGCAGTTTGAGAAGCAGGTTTCAAACGAGATAAATCTGGTCTCAGATTTGATAGAGACGCCAATATAGAAGCACCAGCAATTGCTGATGGGTCCCCTGCACGTCTCTCAATATGCAGCATTTTCAGGTCTCCACCACGAACAGATGTATGTGTTTTTAACAAGACATCACACGGTAGTTGCTGGAATATCTATTGGAAGGAACATTAAGGAAAACTATGAAAGAGGCATGGAAGCAAAAACGAATGTATAAAACCAAAAATAAAGAAATTTACGCATCCCACAAAGGCATTAGATTTCATCAGTTAACTTAATAGGTTTTTGTCTTTAAAAGGATACATAAGCATGATTCCCAAGAGGACCAAAGACCACTTCATCTCCTGAATTCAAAACACAGGTTGTACCCTTCTTAATAGTCTTCCCATTAACATGCACGGATCCTTTGCTTCCCTTGCTTTCAAGCACAGCGACAGAACTGTCTTCCCGCTGATCATGTCGACAAACAGTAAGTATTCATACTGCAAGTAGACAATATGGAGTTCATCTCCATAAATCCTATAAACCAGGTGAACTGTTTGTGCTTAATGTAATGTGAATCCCTAAAATTGAAGCAATGTTGACATGATATATTATTCAGTACCTCATTGAGCTTGATAATGCAAAGAATCGCACTTATATCCTTGATCAAAAGATTAGCATTCTTGCTTGATCCAACTAAAAAATTGGTTGTATAAACAGTCATTGTTTGATTCTGCAAGAAACAATGCATTTCTTTCAGCTCTGTGTATATTTAGGTTGTCCATGGCTGAAACTCACAATTTATCATGATAATCCCTTTGCTGAAATAATCAAGAAGCTACCGTGTTTCAATAAATTCATAGAATTACTCATTTTTATTGCCGAGTACTAACCAATGACGTCTGAGCAAGCAGCCTGCACCAAGGTGTGGCCGTCTCACAGCTCTGATTTTGCTGCTTCCATGAAGAAAATGAGCTTCTCGGCTTCTCCGGTAAAACTGGCACTGACGCTTCATAGCAACCAATACAAAGTCTCAGCCTTAACCCTTAATCAATTGAAATTAATACCATAACAACAATAAGCTGTAGCCTTTTCTTACTAGTGTCAAATACCCATAACAAACAATTCAAGAAATGCACAGAAACCCAATTATCATTTTCTTTGAACATCTTGCAATTGGTTGCCATCTTTTAGACATTTACATGTAGACATGTAACAGAGGTGTGTAAATTTATATAGACAATTAGGCATATATGTTGACTTCTGCACCCTTCAGAATGTGTATTATCCAGGCATGATTTTATTCTAAACCCTGGTGAGTTCTGGAACTGCAATCTTGTCTAGTTGATCATTTCCATCAGACAATTAAAACCATCAGCAATTACTTAACAGCTACAAACCCAAGAGATTAGATTGAACAATGCAGAACGACAGACATTTTAGTAATTTACATGCAAGAGATTTACAAAACAGCACGAAAACAACTTGCCTTGAGCGATCGGAGTGACGACGGAAGCAGCCGGAGCCGCCTCCGCCTTCCCTGCACTTACCACCTCCCCTTCACCGCTCCCATCCTTCCGTGGACAACTTGCGGCGGCATTTTCTGGTGGATCCACTGCCGTCGGCGAACTCAACTCTTTGGAATTCTCCACCACCGCAGGCTGTGATGGCTCTTGTGGCGTCGATTTCTCCGATGCACCTCCATTATCAGCCTAAAAAACATAAAAATTCAACCAAGAATCAATCAATAAAGGCGAAATTCCATAAACAACCAACAAAAGTCCGTAAAACCAAAGGGGGCAAGAGCATTAGGCACCTTTTGACGTTTGGGAGACGGGGGTTTCTGTTCTGAAGATGATGATCGCTTGTTGTTGTTGCTGTTATTGTTGGATATAGATCCACTTCGTCGCGTCGACACCATATCTTTGTAGGTTATGCTTGGTTGTTGTCTTCTTCGTCGTCTTCGTCCTCTCCTAGAGAGAGAAACAGACCGAGAGAGTCTATAGAGATAGAGAGAGAAACCGAATAAGACGAAGGGAATAAGAGAGAGAGAGAGAGATGAGCAAATAGTTTTTTTCCTCAAAAAGAAATAAATAAAAAGGGATTTGTAAGCAATTTTTAACTAGTAGACGTTAGATTTACTAAATTTGTTATTTTTGCATTTTGCCTCCCTCGACTTTCGAATTTCATACTTTGTGGACCCAATTCTTTGATTTTTTTTTTTTTTAAAAAAATTGATTTCAAGATTAGAAATAAATATTTTTTTGAAACTAGAAGTGTACTCGCACAATATAACGAGGTATATCTCGATTTTAATGTTTTGTTTTATTTTTTTTTTATCTCAGTCAATGTTATAATATGATTTTATGTGGTTTTGAAAAAACGATAATGTTTCCATGTGTTTTTCAACATCAATAATTATTATAAACTCAGTAAAATATATAAAAAAAAACTGGAAAATTGTTGCATCATACAAACTTCATGGTAAGAACCAAGGTTTCTGTATAATAATTTTTCAAAAATTGTTATTTATGAAAGAAAATTTATTTTTTATTCTTCTTACAAATGAGAATCCTTGAAATTAAGTGTATAGAAAAGAAAATTAATCTATACTATATTATAAAGCATTTGGCACGATCTCTTAAAAACAACTTTTTAAGCATTATGTACTGCTATATAATGCTAATTTACTTAATTTTCAAGATTACAAGTAAATTGTGTGTAAGTGTAACTTATTAAAGCTTCATGTTTGAATTTGTGTAGCTAATTGCAGATAAATATAATCAAATAGAGGATAAACATCTCATTTCAAATATGAAAAATCTAAAATATAAGTAAGATAATCATTGAGTTCTAACAAAATACTTAATAATTATCTTTATAAAAAATTATATTATTAAAACAAAACTAAATTACTTCGTTACTAAGTCTATATTAAATTATAATAAAAAAATTGAATTGAATAAATTACACAAAAAACATAAATTTTTAAATAGTTAATTTGATACTAATATTGATATATTTATTTTAGAAATTTTATGATATCTTTAAATTTATATTTTTTTATTCAAAAATAAAAACATTATTCATTTCTCAAAATCACATAAATTCTAGATATATCTCGCAGCATTGCGCGAGTATCTTCTAGTATTTTATAAAAGATATTGAATATTTTAATAATATTATAATATCTAAAATAGATAAGCTGTTGGATATGAATATAAATGTTCTTTGCAGATTTTGACTTTTTAATTTTCCATTTTTGGATAATATGTTTAAGATGCTTTAAATATGGATGTGTTTACAATGAAAAAATAAAACATTTATTATGGTAAATTTTAATACTTGAAAGATATTCGTACAATCACTTCCTTTTGATGATGACACACAATTTTTCCACAAAATCAGTTTAAAATATAATGCAAATCAGCATCTTCTTCGGGCTTTTGCCTTCATGGTGTTCACTAAATGTTTATATGGTAAGTGCTTACCGGCAAAAGTTACTGTCTCTCTTACTCTTACCTTGTCCAGTAACATATTTTTAAATATATAATATTTATATACGACAAAATAGAACAAATAAACTCACACACTCTCCTCACATTTTGTGAATTTGAACTCTTAACCTGTTAAGAGGTCAAATACTCACATACCGCTAGGCCAAAGGCCCTTTGGTCTTGTCCGACAACATTATCGGCCATTAAATTTTCTATATAAATCCAACAATATATATATTATATTATAAAACATTTGACAAAAACTYTTAAAAACAATTTTATATGTATGAAATACTGTTTATTGATGTATATTATTTAAAATTAATATTACAAGTAAATTATGCGTAAGTACAACTTATTAAAACTTTGTTTTTGAATTCGTGTAACTAACTATAGATAAACATAATCAAATACATGATAAACATCTCATTTTAAATATAAAAATTTAAAACGTAATTAAGATACTCATTGAATTTTAACATAGTACTTAATTATCATCCTTATAAAAATTAAATTATTAAACAAAAATAAATTATTTTATTATTAAATCTAAATTAAATTATATCGATTTTTTTTAAAATTTATATTTTGTTCAAAAATAAAATTATCATCGTTTTCTAAAACCACGTAAAACCGTATTATATCGACAGAGAAAATGAATAAAATGAAACATTAAAATCGAAATATATCTCGTTGCATTGCATGAATACCCTTCTAGTAAATGGGTAGAATACACAATTTTAACAAATTCAAACATTTATGAGTTTACAAAAACAAATAGTCTTATTGATTCAGATCTCAGACTTCAACACCACCTTTTATCAAATCAGAAGTAAAATAAAACTTCTAACTTTTAACACCTTTTAAAACACAAACGTCACCTCAAAATAAGCATGGGAATCAATCATGTGACTTACCATAAACGAGATGTTATGCTTGTTGACGTGGCAACCAATAGAACCTACAAAAATTCATTAAATATTAATAAATTTTTTTAAAAAAAATTGATAGTAAAAAAAAACAGTATCGTGTTAATTCAACCAGACCCAGATTCAAAATTCACATGTTTTAATGTGTTCATCGTGTTTGAATCAAGGCCCTATCAATGCCCGACATATGATGACTCTAGACCATTATGATTTTTCAAAGGATTAGTCAGTACACGTGAGCTGGACCAAAATAAGGGGTCGTTTATCAAACACTTACTCCGTAAGTGTTTACTGATAAAATTTAACACTATTATGAACTTACTGGGTAAGATTTTAGTCCACCAAAACGACACTGTATACAATAATTTACCCGGTAAGTACTTACCGTAGTAAGAGTCTGTCGCCCTCACTTACTGGGTAAGACTTCTGATCCTTGTCTCGCTCTTACCAGGTAAGATTTTTGGTCCTTACTGTATTCATCCGGTGAGATAGTATTACTTGGTAAGCACTTACCCGAATAAGCGTTTGGGAAACGGCCATAAGTAAATTTTTATACGAGTTGGACTTGATTGACCCGTCAACAAATCTTGCCCTCTTTTACTACTTTTATGAATATTTAATGAATTGGATATAATTACAACTATATTAATTAAAAAGAACAAATTGCATGAAAAGTAACGTATTTTAACTTGATTCTTATTTTCGGTAACGTATTTTCAAAACTTCCATTTTGATATCTAAGATGTAAAGTTTTAAACATTTAATTACCTGGGTAACCGGTTCAAGACTAAATTTAGATTAAAAAAATTAATGTCATTAACCACGTCAACAAATAATATTGAGCTGGATACCACATCAACATGATAACCGGTTAATGTTTTAACCAGTTACCCGGGTACTTAAATGTTTAAAAACTTTACATCTTAGGTACCAAAATGAAAGTTTTGAAAATACGCTTCTCAAAATAGGAATCAAGTTAAAGTACGTTACTTTTCATGCAATTTGCACAATTAAAAACGGTATAATTTGTTTGAATAATGTGATTAAAAGAGGTTGTAACCATTCAATGCATTTTCAGATGATTTTTGATCTGTTGTAGATAAAATACAAACCCAATGCTATCCATTTTAAGATAAATGGATCGAAATTACTGCAACCTATATGCATGGATCGTGACTCAGGATCATGTGAGAGCAAGGGGTTTTCGTGAGACCTGTAAGACCAATTTTCAACCCTTGGATTATATCTACAATCTGAACATTCATAAACGCCACGAGACTTCTCAATAATCACAAAATTGTCACCGTGCAACTTTATATTATTAGATCATTAGCTTATAAAGTTGACAATGAACATAAATTGGTCTTACGGGTCTCACGAAAAACCATTGTTCTCACGTGAACCCAACCCTTGCAACCTTAATAGAATAATGGTTGAATAATGAATTGTTACGACTTACGACCATTTGGTATCAAATGCAACAATTTTGACATTTACCAGTCGTACTACCCAAAGCTGCATATTTTTGTTGAATCTAATGAAAAGTTTGTACGATTGTTAAATTAGTCAACGTACCATTAAACGATTAACACGAAAGTCACGTCTTTTATTGCTAAGCGGGCTCATAGTCCAAGTCGCTTCTCTAAACAGCGCAATAAGGTCACCCGTAACACAGCTCTTTCATTTGATTTATCTTAACCCCCCAGCTATGCTATTCAATAATATTATAAGGGAATCTAAGGGACCGTTTACTAAGGGGTCGTTTATCAAACACTTACCCGGTAAGTGCTTACTGGTAAAATTTAACATTATTATGTACTTACTGGGTAAGATTTTAGTCCACCAAAACGACACTGTATACTATAATTTACCCGGTAAGTGTTTACCGTGGTAAGATTCTGTCGCCCTCACTTACTGGGTAAGACTTCTAATCATTGTCTCGCTCTTACCAGGTAAGATTCTTGGTCCTTACTGTATTCATCCGGTGAGATAGTATTACTTGGTAAGCACTTACCCGGGTAAACGTTTGGTAAACGGCCCCTAAATGTTTGCCCGGGTAAGCACTTACCAAGTCACATTACCTTACTTGATGAATATGCTAAAGACCAAAAACTTACCCGGTAAGAGCGAGAGACAAAGATCAAGAGTCTTACCTGGTAAGTGAGGACTACGACTCTTACCACAGTAAACGATTACCGGATAAATTATTGCATAAGATGTCGTTTTGGTGGATTAAAATCTTACCTGATAAGTAAATGTTAGTGCTAAATATTACAGGTAAGCACTTACCGAGTACGTGTTTGGTAAACGGCCCATAATTCTCTCATTCAGCATGATGCAACTTACACGTTGATGAGCGCAATGCAATCCACGTCACAACCACTTTTGTGCTGGCCCCTTGCCCATAAGGCCCCACCGTCGGGTCATAAATGCCCTCTTAAATATTAACGAAAGGCAAAAAAACATTTTATTTGATAGAAATACTTAAAGTAAACTTGTATTTTGTATATGATTGCTTATGTTTTTATATAAATATTCATATAACAGTTTTAATTACGATACTATTTTCAGTTAAGCTCTTGAACTCCCAAACACCAACTAGCGCTGGCATAAAAGTCGTTAGGAAATTGATTTGAATCACTTAGAGCCTATTTGTTAACAGCTTAATGAGACCCACAACTTATTCGGTTAGGTATACATGATTGTTTTATAGTGACTTAATGATATAGAAAGTGTCTTATTAAGTAAACTTTTAGAAGAGAACTTTATATAGAAAGTCAATTCTTTCCCAAATATGTTCATTCCAATTAAAAGATACGTTTCTACCATATATGAAAATTTTCTCCCAAACAAAAAAACATCTCGATCTATACAAGCAGATTAATTCATACAGTCAACTTCATTCATACGTGACTTAATGAAAAACCAATCAAACAGTCCCTTATTCACGTGCCGACATAAATGCCATTAACGAAAGTAAACAAGTGTTAAATCTGTAAAACATCCATAGAAAACAACAAATAGATACAAGTTGATAGATTAAAGAAGGTAATATTAATAACATTACAATTTATTATCATATTGTGTTGACTTGTAAAAGTAAAAATGATTATTAAGTATGTTGTTTGGTATTTTTTGGATTAATTAATTAGGGGTTGTTTGTTTACCTTTTAATAGTTCTATTAAGAGACAACATCCGAATCGTTAAGAGGTGAATGTTTTTTGGAAGAAAAAAAATATGTCTCTTAGTGATTCTAAAACCCTCCGAATGATTTTGTATCATGGGTCTCCCTTAGCCATTAAGCGCCCTAATCTTAATCATTATAATCACCTAATCATTCTGCACCAAATCATTCAACAACTGTCAAACAACCCTTAAATTTTGTTGGTATATGAAAAATAATAATTTTTAACTTAAAATAAATTTAATTCAATTTTATATATTTGCAGTTGGAATGATAAAATCAGTTTGAGTTCGAATTCTACTGTCTGCATATATATTTATGGTTATTGGAAGATTTATTTTAGAGTTATGAGTGAAGCCTACAATCACAGTTTAACCATCGGCTCTTGAATATTTATATATTAACTAGAAGGGTATTTGCGCAATGTAGCATGATACATCTTGATTCTAATATTTCGTTTTATTATTTATCTCAATCGATGTTATAATATGGTCTTATGTGATTTTGAAAAAAGATAATAATTTTAGTTTTAAATAAAATATAAATTTGAAATATTATAAAAAATTGACAAATATATATCGATATTAGTATTAAATTAACTATTTAAATTTTTTTATTTTTTGTGTATTTTTTTTTGTTCAATTTTTTTATAATTTAATTTAGATTCAGTAACGAAGAAACTTATATTTGGTTTAATAATATAATTTTTTACAAGTATAATAATTAATTATTTTGTTATAACTCAAAATTATCCTAATTATATTTTAGATTTTTTATATTTTAAAATGAGATGTTTATCCCTTATTTGATTATGTTTATCCGTAGTTAGTTACACGAATTCAAACATGGAGCTTTAATAAGTTGTATTTACGCATAATTTACTTGTAAATTTGAATTTTAAATAATATGCATCAATAAACAGTATTTCATGCATAAAAAGAATGGTTTTTAAAAGTTTTTATCAAATGCTTTATAATATAGTATAGATAAACATAGATTTGGAAATTTAGATGTCGATTTTCATTAAGTTTTGTATAAAAAAAATTGTCTATGTAGATTAATCAGTATGTATAGATCAGAAAATTTTTGCTTAAAAAAGTTTTTTCATAGACGAAAGAGACATTTTTTTATTTGAAAAAGTTTTTAGTAAATGGAAGAAATGCATTTTTAATTGAAATACATGGTATTAAAAAAACTTGACTTTCTACATAAAACTTCCTCCTAAAAGTTTAATGAATAAACTACTTTTTATATCAAATCACTACCAAAAAGTCGTACATAACAGACCAAATAAGTTGTCTAGCTAAGCTGCCAACAAACACACTTCTAGTTATCTTTTTCTGAAAGTAGACACTTATTTTAAGACAAACATAAATGAAATATACATCTAGTGACGGAAATAATTTTTAATTACGTAAATGACAATTTTACCCTCTCAGGCAAGATACAAAATAAATGTTTCAATCAACTCCGCAGCTTGCAAAACTTATGTTCTAAGATGATGAATACATGAAATCACGTTCATAAATCATCAAACACATCAACAAAAATGAGGGCAAAAGTAAGCTTCATAATAGTTGTAACAAAACCATTGCAAGCATATAAAATTTCTGAGACAACTTTTAAATGATTCACTCAACTTCAGCTATGAAGTTCTTGTAATCGAAACGAACATTCATTACGAGTATCTAAGATGAAAAACGCATCGAAAAAATGAAAAGAACTTGTTCTGTCATCAAACCACAAAGAGACGGGGCTGCAAAATCCGCAAGTTAAGCTTGATTCTTGTTCTTTCTAGGAGCCAACTGAGTCTCGGCCTGCAAGATCCGCATATGGTTTCAGAATTTGCGAGCAAAACAATGATAAGTAATTGACCACATCAGTGCTACTACAAAAGGTATTCGCCCCCATCTAGATCGCCCCCATAGAACGGTCGACGACCATCAGAGGGGAGGTGCCGGGGCTCAAACCCAGAATCTCACACGTGGATTGCAACCACGCCTCTACGCAGGACACAATACAACTACTAAAAAGGGGGTATTTGCCACCATTGCGAGCAGGCACCCCCATGCCACCGGTCCCACAATCATTATGGAGGTAAATAAATTGCAAATGCATCCCCCTGGCAAAAGGGTGGCGTCCGGGCTCAATCCCAGGACCTCACACATACGGAATACACCCCCACCTCCACCCCCAGGACAAATTAGCACAACAAAGCAGAGCTACTACTAATTTGGATCAATAACTCACCTCTTTCTTGACAGGTTCTTCCTTCTCGGACAAAGTCAGTTCGATATGACAGGGGGAAGACATGTAAGCTGCAAGAGAAACATAGTTTCGATCATGAATCAATGACAAATATGCTCAACTTAAAAGAGGCATGCCATTTGGTCAAAATATATGTTAATTGGTATTTTAAAATTCCCCTTTAAAGTTGCTTAAGAGACCGCCAAGACAGTAGGTAATTATGTGTTAGAACACTCATGCCCGTAGCAACATATAACACTTTTTTAAAAACTTAACTAAATACATCTTCGATTAAGCAGCGAGTGGCGACCAACCATACAATAAACACCCTAATGAGACTATCATGTTAGTGAGCGAAATTGGTCACTTCCCACACTTTGTTCAGCCTCTTGATCCAAAACATGGAAAATAATAGGTTAGTGGATATACGAGGAGACACTTATACAATTTGTTAGTACTCAAACTATCATCAGAAAGTGATAGCAACGATTAACTGTTTTCTACAAATAGCATTATGGTTCGGGAGTTTGGGCTTTTTTTGGGCTTCTGATAATGCATGTTTTAAGAAAATAGAAAAATGACATAAACTCACGATTGATTCTTCCATGAGCACGGTATGTGCGACGTCTCTGCTTTTGTGCTTGGTTCACCTGAATGTGGGAGATATGGAGAGCATCCACATCCAACCCTTTGACCTACAAGGACATCAAATCCAAACAATAAGTTTAGCCAGAAATAGTTGAAGGAACAGGAACAGGAACCAAAGAGTCATTGGCCCAATGATACCCACGTCACAGGTAGAACCTGGCTCACAGGAAGTCAAGGTTCAAACTCTGTGATTATTTGCCGTATATAAAACCTATATACTTAAAAAGAGTCCCCAATAGTAAAATATGTACAAATATTCATTACTACTTGATACTTACTTCTGCATTACTCTCAGCATTCTTTAGCAAGTCCAGAATGAATTTTGCGGATTTAGCAGGCCAACGTCCTTGCCCATTTGAGTGGCGATTCTTTGCCTGTGCAGTACGTCCAACTCCACGACAGAAACGTGTGAATGGAATTGCTTGTTTATGAACAAGAACATCCTCCAAGTATCTCTTAGCCTTGATTAAAGGCAACTTACGAATAGCATGTGCAGTTTCTCTAGTGTTCTAAGGATTAACAAAAGGAAACATATTAGCAAGAGAACGCAAAGATCCACAACTTAGAAATAGAACTTTGCATTGAAGAAAAACATAATATAGAAAAGAATGCAAGTTTTTGCTGTATTCAGTAACTTCATGTATAAATAACCCTACAAACAGATATAAAATATCAGGACAGCTAATTCCTACGATGGAATGCTGTAGAAAACAGAGTATTTCTTCTTTAATGTTACACAAAAGTCTTCATTATCTTGAAAAGGGAACAATGAAAAAAGAAAGGTGTGTGTTCATGGGGCAAGTTCAAATGAAAACCGTAAATATTTTCAACCAAGTTTTTGTGCTTTATTCATGAAGATGATTCGTAATGAATACGATTCGTATCCACAATGAAAGTGCATGATATCATCGTATACATGAAACAGTTAAGTTCCCAAAATCTCGAATCAAAATATTTACGGTTCTCATGTGAACTTTCCTTTGCCCTCCCATACTATATCCAGCTTTTGATACAAAATAAGTTGGATTGTTAGTTTGTTAAGAAGATGATTCACTGAAAACTAATAGAGTTTCGAATAAATTGGTACCTAAACTGAACCATACTAACAAGTGAAACAAGTAGTAGAATCCACATCGATGTTAAATTTACCAGAAAAATCCGTATGAAAAGAAAATACTCGGATATAAGCATACCTTGAAATGGCACCTGAGATCGGATCCTCTGGCTTTGCAAGCTGAGATATACAAATCAACATTAAAACACAAATTTCAACTCACATTCATAGAAACCCCCAAAATTAACCAAAAAATAATGCTAATAACTGCACAATGACACTTGACCTAATTCCTTCGCAGACAGGGATGGAAATTCGAAACATTCTATAAAGAAAATTTGAACTTACATTTGGTAGGGTTCTCTGGCTCCTTCGAATACTTCACCTGAAATCATCAGCAATAAGAACAACTCAACACGACAATTGTACAATAACTTGAACATACAGGAGATATGCAATGAAAAAGGTGACGAAATACCGACCATTGCGGCTGCTGGTTTCGCCGGTGCGACTGCTGCAGAATTGTGTGTGTTTTCGGAGGCGACCCAGCAAACGATCTAATAAGAGTCTAGGGTTTGTGTCTTTGCGACTATTAGAACGCGGGGGTTTTGGTTGCTATGGACTATGGATCGGGTCCGGCCTTATGTACTTTGGGCCGGATATGTGTTATCATCTTTAGGGTTTAGGAAGGTGGTTTGACCCAAATCTTTTTTGTGTTAAATATTTTACTTATCGGGTAAGATTTAGTCTACCAAAACGACATCGTATGCAACAATTTACACTGTAAGCGCTTACCATCGGTTGAAATACAATTGATTTAGGTGGATCCGATCCATCCAACCTAATTAACATTGGACATCCGATCTAATTCAATCCAATTGATAATTGGATCTGATCTGTTTTATCAATTAAACATTACTATGGGTTATTCATTTGATCGGATTGGATCTGTCTGATATTTTTTTAGGGTTAAATGCATGAAATAGCAACCTACTTTCATAAAATTTCTTATTATAGCATTCTACTTTTGTTTTTCTTTATTACAGCAATGTATTTTCAAATTATTTTTTATTAAGACATTGTACTTTTAAAAAATCTACCTATAATAGCAATGGGTAACCTGTTACCTTTTAAGCCGGTTAACACTTTGACTTTTTTGTTTGTGTGACTTTAATGAGGTGATGTGGATGCCACATCATTTTGATGACTTAACTAAAATTAAAATAAAAACTTATTTCAAATTATTATTAGTGATTTTCATTTTTCATTGTTATGATCTAAAAAAACATTTTTTTTTTACTTTTTCTTATTAAGTTGCATTCAAATTAAATATTATTAGAGTAAAATATTTATTAAATAAATATGAAACATTATTTTCGAGATATATTTTGTTTGTAAAAAAAGTAACTTTTTCTATTTTATGTTGTTCAAATAAATACGTATCTTTTAAAGTTCTCTAAAATATTAACAAAATAAATTGTTA